TGCTCTCGTTAAGGAATGGATGAGCAAAGTTATCAGTACCCTGGGCTATTAAAATGATGGTATCTAATTTTAATATAGCAGATTTTATCAGGCCATTTTACAAAGACATTGAGTATTTGATGGGGAAAATGAGGCACAGGAATGGAGGAGTGACTTGTTCAAAGTCACCCAGAAGACTGGAGGCAGGAATAGAGCCCAGGTCTTCTGATCCTTAGTCCAGTGCTCTTACCATTAGACTTCCCTGCCTGTAACTCCTGCAAGGTTACACTTTATTCCTGCTTCCCTCCCCAACATCAAGAAGCTGCTGCTGGATTCTGTTAAAATATGGTACTGGGCATTTCTGAAATAGTGCTGGACAGAGACAGGAGAGGCATAGATCTTGTTGCTAGCGTATGGAAGGGCAGTGTAATATACTCAGCAGCAAGCTGCCCAGTTAACTACACAATGATAATCCACCTTACATATTTTATCGAAATTGGCTAGGAGGTCACCCATTTATCCCTCCCCACATGACATCATTGCATATGATACATATGATGTTCTTGGATACACCCTGCTGGGAATATGAAGTGGCAATAAATCTGGACCTCTACTTTTTCTCTCAGAGACCTTCAGTCTGCTGGGTCAGCAGGAGTGAGGTCTAGCAGTTAGAGAAGAGGATATGGAAGTTATAGTATTGGAGTTTTATTTTGGGGTCTTCCAGTTTCACTATCTGACGCTGGCCCAAACAGTTAGGTCAGATTTTCAAAGATGCCTAAAAGAGTTGGTTTTGCCTCTCACTGAAGCCCAGTAGAACTGGGCATCTGATGCCTTTAAGCACTTTTGAAAATACTAGCCTAATCGTACCTACCTCTCATTTGATCCTCTGTAAAATAAGGGATGACAGATGCACACTTCCACTGAGGTTGCATATCAAGACTGACTGATTCCCAAACACCTATTCATCAGAAGAAACAGGAGGTTTGCGCACATGTACATTTTCATTGTGTAGATTTTGTAAAGAGTAGCTGAAATTCTGTCATGGCCAGGAATTCCAAAGTAGCTCCACTGCACATAGTAAGGCTAGGGGGAGGTGAAGCTGGAAGGCCAAGGAGAAGGGGCTGGGTTTTGGTTGTAGCCATGTTGGTCTAAGAACATAAATGTGCTTCTCTCATTTCTTGGAGCCTCAGAACAGCAGAGACTCCCTATGCCTGAAGAAGGGTGACTGCGCCTGAAAGCTTGCTGAGAAATTTTTTCCAACTACTCAGTTGGTTTAATAAAAGATATCACATCTACTCGAAGAAACTTTCCTGCCAAGGAGGAAAGGCAAAATGTTTCTCCTGAGACGCAAACATCTTTCAGTGGACTCTGTAGATAATCCTGCTGTGGGATCCAGTTGGAGAACAGAATTCCAGACCCAATAATATTGATTTCTGATAAGGCAAAGAGTAAAAATGAAATGATCAGATTATGTTGACCTATTCATGGATTTTTTCCTCTTCCATGAATAGACCAACAGTATGTAACAGTGCTTGACTCAAAGGCAGCACAGCTTTTTGAGATTCTCATGCACCAGACTTTAAATGTCTGTCTTTGATGTGATTAGGTTAAAAATATCTGAGGGCCTGATCCTTTACCCTTTACTGATTTGAGCCAATGCTGAAATATTAGGTCTAGGAGGGTATTTGAAAAGGCAGGTAAGTTTTTTGTTTGTTTGTTTTTGGTTTTCTTTGGGTTTTTTTGTTTTGGGGTTTTTTACCATAACAGTGTGGATTTCCCTGAGGTTTAGCATAATTAGTAGTTGTTTTCTGTTGGGACTTTTTAAGAACTAGCATACTTTCTCTGAGCTTCCACATTAGACTTAGACCAAAAGTTATTTTCCCTTCATAAAATTCTTAGCCTTGCAAAAACCATTATTGAAACTGCACGTAGAATTTTGTGAATGGAAAGTTGATGCCAACTTCCACATAACAGCCAAGTGTGTACGAAAGTTATTTGTAAAGGGACACTGTCAACTTTACCATTCATTGTAAAGGAAAATATTATTTCCTTATCTCTGTTGCCATTAACACATCACTAAAACCAAGCCCATTTTATAAAATGCAAATGACTTTTTCATGTATCTGGTGTTTACTTGTTATGCTTGTGTCTTCCTGAACAATGAATATCATTATGGTTGATTTAATTTTGTTTCCTTTTGTCACAGCATTGAGGTTTCAAATGCTCCAAGGCAGCAATAGGCAACCTTTTCTGGCTGCGGGCCACAATGCCCCCTGCTACCCCCATGTCAGAGGTGCTAGGATCTGCCTTCAGCTGTTGCTTCTTCCCATGGCAGCATGGGAAGAACGCCTACAGCCAAAACTCCCCACACAGCCTAATGCTGTCAAAGCTCCACATCTGTGGGTCAGATCCAATGGCTCTGTTGGCTGGATGCAGCCTGCAGGCCATAAATAACCAGCCCCTGCTTTAGGGAAATTAAAAAAAAAAAAGAAAGAAAGAAAAGTCGTGTGTTTCTGGGTATTATAATAGTTTATTCCTACCAACTTTTAGTTTGGGAATTTGATTTTTAGTTAACAACTTCCTTTTAAATTTATACATTGGATTTTTTCAGATAACTTTTGTGTTCCATGATTCTAGCAGGAACTAGTTCAAAACAGCAGATTTCAACTGACCCATGCTCCCCACCTCATTGAATTGAAATAGCCAAGATAGTAACGCCTGATTTTTCTCACAAAAGTTGACTCCAAGCTGAAATTCCTCCCGTTCTATCTGTCAGCCTCTCTGCTAAATTGTTGGGAGATTTTTCCAGCCATTCACCTGGCTTCAGTGGGAGCTACCAGTCCTCAGCACAGGAAGTTCTGCGTAAGGTTTTAGTTGAAGCCTGTTTTTTGGAACCCTATTTAGTTAATGGCCACAAGAGGTCAGCAGAATCCAGGACAAAACAAATACGTTTCCTTGTCCAGAATGTTATGCTTGCTTGGTTATTCCCTTAGTCAGGGCTTCTTCAAACAGGGCAGTCACTTGGCATTTCTGCTCCACAGTAGCTCTTTTAAAAAATGACTCTACTGAAAAAGCAGGGGAGTTATACCAAAATAAAATCGCTTTTAGTTTTTGGAATGGAGTATCTACACAGGAGAGGTATTCCACCATAGCTCTGTTATGCTGGCTCATTTCATATTGGCGGGCCCTAAATCCTTGAAGTTGGTAAGAGACATCAGTTGTATTTAGCAATCTTTCCCTGTCCATTCACCCCTTCCCATATACAGTAGTTCTTCCTCTCTTGTTCTTGTTGCAGTGGGGAGTCAAATGTTTTAAGGTGCATGGCCAGGCTTAAAAAAAGCTGGTGTGTTCTCTGTGTAGCAGAAAAGAGAAGTCATTTTATTTAGAATCAGAGAAATCTTGCAGCTACAACACAGTACCCATAGGTGACAGTGGAGAAGCTAAGTGATCGTTAACCAGATTACCCTTGTGGTTTACAGCAATGAGACCAACTCAAAGGGAGCCTTAAACGGTAACATCAGGAAAAGCGGTGTTTGGCGAGTGATGTGCTAAAAATGAAAAGGTGCTTTGAGGGTGTTGGGCTGCGATGCCTGTTTAAGGTTAGTGCAATTCTCACATGTTTTGACCTTTGCACATCGATGTCTCCTCTCTCTGACTTATGAAGCGGCTGTTGTTAATAAGTGCACCTGTGTTGGTACTGTGCAGTCAGGCTGGGAATGATAGCTGCAAAGCTGTCTCAGCTGATCTGCTTTCTGTGCATATTCCAAGGCACTTCTACTAGCCTCTGGTGACAGAAATAGAGCCCTGCTCCTACAAACCTCTCCAGCCTGCCCCCTGTGTCCCTACAGAGCTTCAGTAAGGCCAATGGAAGTAAAGGGTTCTCCCTGCACTGAGGCACTTGCAGCATCAGGACACTATTTTTCATTTGGCCCTTTAGGCACTGACAGACATGCAGCTACCCATTCTAACTCATGGCACTTTACAGAAAGTACCATGCATTAAAACAATCCCACCCACCCAACAGCTGTTCGCTGTTGGAGGGGGGAGGGAGGCGCTGTCTGCCGGGGGGTGGGAGGGTCCAGTCTACTCACCCTGCCTCCAGGTCAGGCTGAATAAACCCCCAACACACAGCTCCCTCCCCCTCCCTTCCTGCAGACAGCGGCAGGGGCAGGGCTGAGCTACATCAGCCCAGCCCTGATAGCATACATTGATTGACAGAAGTTACCTAAGGCACTCTGCTTTGGACTGCCTTTATCTGATCCCTCATTAGGTGAGGGTTAATTTGTTGTGTGATCAGCCACTTTTAAAGTGTTCTGCAGCCTTGCATGTGTGTCATGGCACAGCTGTAGAGCACTTTCGGGGGGCCAATCGTGCAACAAATGTCACTTCTGTCAGCGCCCTCGAGAGAAAACACAGCTCTGGGAAATGGAGGTGGGTTTTATCCTCCTTTACATGGCACCAGTGAAAATTTTAGCTACATTCAAATAGCAGGACCAGATGTTGCACACTTGTGCCAGCCTTTTCTGAAAGACCATAAGGGACTGCTCTTAGATAACTAAAGATAGAGTCCTCATCCACTATGGCCTAATTCCAGTTGGGTAGGGGTGTCAACAGTTTGATGCCAACGCAAAAATGGAAGGACTCAGGTGAATTGGACCTGGAATTTGAAGGAGGTGGATGCTGCCTCTGGGCAATTGAGAGCAGAACTGGACTTGCAGAATCACACCCCAGTGTAATCTTTGTGCCAAGAAGAATATAACTTGACTTTGAAAGCCCTGGGTGAGTCTCTAGATCTGGTAAATATAGGGGGACCCCATGCAACCCATTTCAGTTGTAACTAAGCACACTGACAGGGGCTCTTTGGGAAGCAAACAAACATAGGTCACCTAGGAGGCCATTTTCAGAGCAAAAATCTTGCCCTACGGTTGCATTGTCTTAACTGGGTCCTCTTGTGAGAATGCGGATAGCACATAGGTTAGTAGTGACTGTCTTGGCTGCAGTAATGTCCTAAATTAACAGGGGCAAAATTATCTCTTTACCAAAGGGATAAACTTCTTAAAGTCAAGGTTAAGATATCAGGAAGAGATTAAGTCCCTTCTACCTAGGACAAAGAGATACAGAGAGAGGCGGACACCAGTGACTTATCTAAATAGCATTACTTTGCAGAGTTGCCAGCCTCTATTATCAGTCTCACTGTTGCATTTATTGTCCTTATAGCACCAGGGTGTCTGAAGTTGAAGTGCCATCCCCCACCCTGTTCTTGAGTAATTTATGTATTCTGTTCTTTCAACTCACAGGGCGTCAGCATGGCGGCCCCCAGGCCTGCAAAACACCTCCTCATCTTTGACTTCGATGAGACAATCGTCAACGAGAACAGTGATGACTCAGTCATAAGGGCTGCTCCGGGACAGGAGGTCCCAGAACACATCCGCCAAACCTTCCAGGAAGGCTTTTACAACGAATATATGCAGCGGGTCTTTGAATACATGGGAGACCAAGGGGTCAAGATGCTGGACTATAAGACGGTCTACGAAAACATCCCCCTATCACCTGGGATGCCGGAGCTTTTCCAGTTCCTCTCCAAGAATCAAGACCAGTTTGAGATCATTCTCATCTCTGATGCCAACATGTTTGGCATTGAATGTGCTTTGAGAGAGGCAGGCTGCTACTCTCTGTTCCGCAAAATCTTTAGCAATCCCTCTGGCTTTGACAAGAGGGGCTACCTCACCTTGGGGCCCTATCACTCTCACAAGTGCCTCCAATGCCCAGCAAACATGTGCAAGTGCAAAATCCTCACTGAATACCTGTCTGAGAGAGCCCAGGAAGGGGTGGAGTTTGAGAAGGCTTTCTATGTTGGGGATGGGGCCAATGACTTCTGTCCCTCCACGGCCCTGACTTCAACAGATGTTGCTTTCCCACGGAAAGGCTACCCCATGCACAAGATGTATCAGGAGATGGAGAAAAAGCAACCTGGAGTCTTCCAGGCCACTGTAGTTCCCTGGTACTCAGCTGTGGAAGTTTGCCAGCATCTTCAGGAGTTCCTCAAGAAGAAATGCTGAGAAGGGCTTGTTGGTATAAAAAAAAAAAAAAAAAAGGCTCTTGCTGTCCTGGAGGCAGCACCAAGGAGCAGGCAGGAAAAAGAGGGAAGCTCTCAGAAGCATCTCATTCCTCAGTAGCTAAGCTGGTGCCATATCTAGCTTTGCAGAGTTGGACTCAGCTTCTGGAATTCTTATCCTCCCTCTGCTTTTTTATTTCTTTCTACGAAGTACTTTCTCTGGGTTCCCACTTCTCCCCTCCCCATGATCTTGACATGAGGTCTTCTCTATGCAGTTAGCAAATCCATGCAGAAGGACAGGCATGTTGGCAGATCAATTTATTTTTGCTTTCACTTTGAATTCACTTAAAATTATTCTATTTAAAAAAAAAAAAAAAAAAAGATTCACCAACCAACTTGTTCTCACAAGGGCCAAAGTGTATGCATGCTTCCATTAGCTCCAAAATAGAGGTCACCTGACCCACAACTCTATCAAAACAGTTGGGATTGCCTACAGCGTTACTCTTTCATCATCATCTTTAATGCCTTTCTCTACATGCCCCCTAGACGAAACTGAAAGCTGCTTACAGTTGGCTGAGTATTGACCCAATAATTCATTCCTGAGGGGTCCTTGCCTCTTCAGGAGGACAGTGGAAATCTCATCTAGTGCAGCTTATGCTGCTGATATCTTATTGTGAGCACTCTCCCCCTGGGCTTGGGTTGCCACCAGCCTACCCCAAACCCTCCATTCATTGGCCTCTGTAGGAGGAGGGCATGGACATGGGATTTGGTTCAGGCTGTGGAGTTTGGAGGACACTATTCATTTAAGTTTCCACTTGGAGGTTGTTCACTGGAACACATTCCTAAGCAGACAAGAGTTTTGTAAGGAGAAATGTGAGTTAAGCATTTAAATTGCCTCTTGAAAACCTTCCTCTTCCAGTTCCCATTCTCAAGCCTTTCCCTCAGAGTAGCACAAGCTGCACATGGAGCCCTTAGATTAAAACCCTGTGCCTGCATTTTACTTTCATTTCTGGGATCACTTTCTTCTCCAGAGCCAAGACTACCCTGATTGTCTCACAAGACACACTCTTCTATAGTTATATTAAGCACAACACCAAGTGGCCCACCTCCAAAGGCTTTGAGCCAGAGCTGGTTTCCAGAGCAGATGCTCCTCATCTGCATTCACTTTCCTGGTATCAGGTCACATCCAGGCCTACACTCGATCCCAGAAATGTGTTTGCTGAGCTTGCCTGAGTGCTGTCCTGCCTGAATTGCACTTCAACAGCCATCCTTTACAGCAGTTCAGCAAAGGTGGTTTGAGATCTACAGCTGACAAGAGATCTGTCTCCATAAGCTAAGTGCTGGTTCCTGTGGGTGTTGGAGCAGCAGTTCTCTGTGTCATAGACAAATCACAACATCCTTGTTGTTATAGCAGGGCTGAGCCAGCTTCCTGGCCTGATTCTGATTCTGAGAGGTGCTGAAACTCCCATTGATATCAGTTGGAGGTATGGTGCTTAGTGCCCCTTTGGGGTTAGGCTGCTAGAGGATAAAAACCTCTCTCCACTTCCCATTCCAGAGTCCTGTCCCAGGCAATTGCAGTATTAATTGTCCCCTGTGATTGCACTCTGCAGGGGTACCCACTCTGTTTGCCACCCTCTTATTCTGGCTTTTCCTGGGCTGATTGCAGCATTAACTGCCCCCAATGGTGGCATCTACAGGGATGACTGCAGTCTGTCTGCTCCAAAGTATTTCCCTCCTGCAGTTGCTCTGCACAGTAAGAAATTAACCAAAGCAGCCCCAGCTTTTGCTCTCCCACCTTTTGTGGGTCCCCCACCTCTACCATTTGTTCTTTCTCTTCTGCTCCGTCCAGTCATATGGAACTGAAAGCCATGGACATTTTAGAAACTCCATATTGATGCTGGGTGCAACATGTATGTTTGGAATTTCATATGCATGTTATGGTGGACATTTAAATGACTTTTTTTCCTCTTGTCCCTCATTATCTTAAATATATATACATATTTATATATATAACTATCCATATACGTGTGTGTGTGTGTGTGTGTGTGTATGCATCAGGGAGCATACCACTATTGTGGTTTCACTTTCTCAGCTTGCCCTCATGGCTGCTGAAAGCGCAGGGTTGTGGTTTGCAGATAAAACCTTCCAGCCTGTGAGCCCTCCCCATGAAACCAGTGATCTTTGAATAGGGGTGTGTGTGTGTGTGTTTCTCTGCAGGGACACAACATCTCAGCCTGGCTGAGCTTCCCTGTGGAGCAGCTGCTAACATGTCTCTGAGTTACAGACAATAGAGGGCAGTAAGTGATCTGGGTGTTTTGTCTGATGGGACAGCTGAGCTGGGTTCATTACTTGCAACTGAGATAGAGAAACCTGCAATTTGTTGGTGTGAAGTGAAAAGGGGGAGGTGGAAGTGAACCACCAGGTTCTACAGATAAAAACCAGAATAAAATAGGTTTAGGGAAAGCCCCTGCAGCATACAGTATCAGCTGTGATTGGTGTACCACTGCACACTAGGCCTGTGCAAAGCAGCTAGTATTTGCTTCAGGTTCGGATTTGGCCGATTTGGGGGACAGTGATTTGATTCGGTGATTTGAAAAGTTGTCTTGAATCAATCTGGCCACTGCCAAATCGGCCGAATCTCCAAATCTGATAGGCCTCATCCTCCGCCCGCTCTCCCAGCCCAGTCAATGGCTGCCCTGCCTGGCCCTAGCTCCCAGCTCTTAAAAAAGCCCCGTAGTCACCAGCTGCTATCAGGTGGGGGGCAATCCCTGCTGCCCCCCACTGCCCTGCGCTGTGTGGGGAGCTCTGCCACAAGCCCCCAGGAGCCCAGAGGCCACTGCAGCGATCAGTGAATGGGGCCTTTTTTTAAAAAAAAGCACCGGGAGCTGGGGCGGGTGGGGCAGCCATGGGGGTGTGGGGAGAGCAGGCAGGGGTCGGGGGGAGCTGGGGGAGCAGGCAGGGGATGGAAAGCCAAATCTCCTAATCGGATTAGCACCTGAAGCTTCGCACAGCCCTACTGCACACGTGTGAATGTTGGGATTGCAAGCCAGTGACATAGGTGCGGTTGAGCAGTCTACATGGGTCCTGGGCTCCTGCCCCTTTGGGCTTCTTCATGAGTATGGCCTGAGGGAGGGGAGCCAGATCCACCTGGGCCTTCTTCCTGGCTTACCCTGACTTTATCCTCCTTACTAAATCTCAGTTGGCTCATCCTCCTGTGAAATGGGTTTACTACAGAAGTGTAATGGTGAATGGAAGGGCATGGGTGTGTGTTTGCAGTGGGACCTGTTTGCCTACATTAGGTGCTAAAGGGACAGTTTGGGATTGTAACTGCTCCCTGCATCCACTGGCTTTCCCTGTAGAATCTGACTCCGTGGGATGATGATCAATCCGAAATCTACCCCACAGCCACCCAGCTGTCATCAAGGGGGCTGAGTGCCTTATTTGACTGAGGAGAAGGGAAAGCATTACAGGTTACAGTTATGATGTAACTGGTCATCTGTAATCTGGATGGATTTTCCCGTTGTCAAATCAGCCACATCTTGCACTTTCCTTTGTTTTTCTTCCACATCCCTAGTTTTTGTAGCAGACATCTTGTTAATTTCTCATTTGCTTATGGACCATGGATGCAAATAAAACAGGACCATGGGGAAGCAACTGTATAGGGCTGTGCTTATGAGGAATGGCTTTGGCAGCGGATGAAACAGCTGGCTATTTAGAAGGCTACTTCATCTTTTGGGGTGGAGGTAATGGATAGTGCCTCTGTGTTACACTTGACTGCAATCTGAGGACACACATGATCCAAAATAATCATCATTTGTGTGTCTGTCCACTCTATTCTACATGATGATATTGCTCTCTTCTTTCAGAAAATGGCTTATAGCTTCGTTTGGTCTTGTGGACCACCTTTCCATTGCTGTTCCCAATCACATGAGCCTAATTTTACTCCCATGTATGGATCAGCTGTCACTGACAACCAGACCTAAGTAGTGGACATTCAGTTGTTTTTTAATGCAGCTTGGCAGCTGACAGGAAAGAAAAAGGGCCGACCAACTGTGATCCACCAACCCATTTGGGAACCTAAATTGTGCCAGAGTTCACTACAGGCAGTTTAGCTCCCTGGTTTCTAGGAAGGTTGTTAGTGTAATTTAGTTACAGTTTAAACCTTGTGTCCCCACACATCCACCACAGGAATAGGGAAGACAAGCTTTTAAAAACTCTTTATTAAAAATGGGTACCCTTTTAACAGCAAGGGAGCAGCAGTAACAGCCATATACAGCAGAGGGCAGGGTCAATAACATGATGACTATACCCTAAGTGGATTGGCAATGACACCTGTCCTTCCTGAGCAGGTGCCCAATCTAGGTTCCTCTTTGGCCCCAGTACCATTTGAGAACAGGGCAGCCACAGGCCTCTGAGAGTATATTTTCCTTGCTATTGATGCTCCCAGTAGCACTCATCAGTACTGAGTGATCTCTTCCAATTGTTCAGGAGCTCTCACGGAGCAGTCACACAATGGCTTTAAAGCATAAGCTGCAGCCAGAAAATGCATCAAGTTAGACTCTGAGACTGAGCCTTTCCATCTCCAAATCTCAAGGCAGCAGCAGTAATCCCCAGCTGCTCTTAGCAAAACAGTAGCAGCAAAAGCCTAATTTTAGCAGAAGTGGAGCCTTTTACAGATGGTGCTGTTATCACGCCAAACAGTAGCCCATACTGTGTTTTGCAGCTCCCTATCATTACGCAGCGGGGGGCAGTTATACGGGTGGGCTATTTCTGTGTGCTCAGGCATTGAAGCGCGCACTCTGGTTTGCATAACACACTTCCCCAAAGCTTGCCAAAGTTAAAGAGTATCCACCTGCTTTACCCCCCAACTATGTTACGTTATCTCACAGCTGTGCCCAGGCCTGTCTATGCTTCTCATCATGTCATGCTTGTGGATCTTGCCAGATGTGTTCATTCTCACAGTAGGCCTGGGGGACAGGCATGTATCATCCTAGCTTCTAGATGGGGAGAACAGAAGTTGGCAACCTGCTCTCAGTGGTTAAAATACCACCCATTCTTAAGCTAGGCTGTCCCATGAGGAAAGGTCTGTTTTCCAGACTTGATAAGCTCTGTTGAGCACTAAAATGTCCCACTCAATGTATTAACCCAGTAGTTTTCAAACATTTTAGACTCAAGACACCCGACAGAAAATGTCAGCCCTTAGTTTTCACTACTCAATTTTTGGCTACAAAAAATAGTAAAGCAATTTCTTTTGTTGCAAAGAACTCAGAAAGCTCACAACATCAGAATGTTTTTGACACTGTGGTTCCATATTGAAAATCTCCAAGTTTATCTTATCAATCATGTTTGTACACCTAACAGTGCTCATATTACATGATGCCCTGTGGCACACCTGAAAGGATCTCATGACACCCCAGGGTGCTGTAGGACCTTGGTTGGGAATCATTGCATTAACTAAACCTCTGAGCCAATTTGGATTTTTTTCAAGGTGTTAGGATCCCACTGGTTTCCAAGAACAGATTATGCGAAGAGGAGGCTTATTCAGAGGGCAGAAAGCAATTCCCATTTTGTTGAGCTTTTTATGGAATAGGAGAGAGACTAAAAGCCTGGTATGAACCTGGCAGCTACTGAAGCCATGAGGCTGAGAATCACAGAATGCCCCAGACTCTTCCCTTCATTGCTAATCTAAGGAGTCCTGGTACTAAATCCTATTCAATCAGTGGGGTGGGACACTCTTTGCAAACCTAATGGGAGGTGCCATAAGTTACACTTCACACCCAGGGGGTGAAATAAAAATACTGAGCAAATCAACACCCCAGTAAAATGTGTCCACAATAAAGGCCGATTCCTGGTTCCACTGTAAGCTGTGGCAAAATTCCCATGGACTGAAGGGGGCTGAGGTTTTAGCTTTAAGAGAAACAGCAGAGCTTTTAGGGGAGGACATCCCTGTGCCTCCAACAGCTGTCCTAAGGTATGAGCTACCTTCCGATTGGAGTTTCTCTGTGACCCAGCCGAGGAATGAGGCTCTACCACGATTAGGTGACTTGATTCTTATACATCTTTGAAATTTCTGTGGAACAAGTGATGGGCACTGAGGTTGGTCTTACTGGCAATATACCAGTTGCATAAAGATCCATTAACCCATGAGATGAGGGAGAAGGCAATAAACCTCTGCAGGTCTTGAAGAGAACCATCTTCTGCACCCCGGCTGGGCTATTCACAAAAAGGTTCCACATAGTTGCCTGGAAAAAAGCCCTCCGCCTCACTGGTCACTCCCTCACACCAGCCATCGGAGTACCTCCGTGTAACATAAACGACGGTCCCTTCTTGAAATGAGAGCTCATTCTCCTTCTGTTGAGTGTAGGGGTAGAGCGTCACCACTGAAAGAAGAGGAAGAAGCTGAAAAGGGAGGAGCAAAAGGAGGACCAGGATCACCCAGCAAATACAAAGGGGGCTTCAAACCTGACTTTAACAGCACCTTGTCTCAAACTGTCTGGTCATTCTGTGTCTTGGCCACAGTGGGTCATGGGAGAGGACCAGGGAGGAAGCAGCCCCATGTGCAGCATGACTAACTCTGCAAGGGGTTCTGAAAAGAAGCTGATGTAATCCCCAGCTTCCCTGAAAGGGGAAATGAGCCCTGTCATATGTATGCCCTGTAGCAATAGACTGGCTCCATAAATGAATACAAGCAGCTTTACAGCACTTTGCATGCAAGATCCCCCTTTCAGGTGGAGAAGCTGAAGTACACAGGCTAGGGGAGGAAAGCACTTCCCCAGTGTCAGATTGCTGGGCAGGTCACTGGCTCACTGCTAGACCATATTACCTATTCGGTCCTTCAGCAGATGACCTTCTCAGTGACCAGTACTCCTAGTCATTTTGGGCTTATTACCTCTTTAGTCCCTTTAAAAGTATCCTATGACCTAGGACATTGCATCAAGCCACAAATTTCACAGATTCAAATGCATCAAATCAAACCAACCAGAGTTCTCCACTTATGCCTTAGAACCTCTCCCCTTATGGCAGCTTGGAAACATCATGGGGCTCCAGCTAAACAAAGTACCTTTTTCCAAGTAGTTGTCCGGTACCCATGACAATTCCTCTATATCCAGTGGTGGGGGAGGAGGAAGAGGTGCCAAATCTTCAAAGTCAGTCAAGGCTGGAGGTGGTGGTGGCTCCATGAAGTCAGGATCTGTAAAAATATCCAAAGAATCACCAGGCGATGAAGATCCCAATGCATGAACAGACGGCAAGCATAGCTAGCTCTTGTTATTCCTACCTGGAGTGGCTAGATACTTATTTAGTGCTTGCCCTTAAAGCCCTTCACTTGTGGTATTTCAGTACTGCTGAGAACTTCTTTTAACAACATTTAGGAGGAAAATATTAAGACAGGGATATTGAAATCATAAAATGCCCCTAAAATATAATCTAACATTGTTTTTTGGGTTGTTTTTTTTACTTTGCATAGCTTGTGATTTGAAGCTGTTTTCATCATTTCTGGAGGCATAACCCCCACTTTTTTAAATGCCTGAGGTTGGCCATGTTGTAAATAGATGAGGAAATAGCTCGTTAAGGGATGATGGATCACGGGAAAATCTTTTTAGTGAACATTTTTTTCCATTTCCATAAAATAACTTTATTGTAGACACACTTCCCCTGGAGAGAACCAGCCCAAGACCTAGGCACCCTGTGCGTTCCAGTGGGTATTTTACAGGCAATTATCCACAGAAAAGAATTCTACCATGTTAAATGTCTGTGTGTGTCTCTCTGTCTCTTGCTAGAATCATCCTAAGGGGAAAAACTGGACCTACCCTGCACCTAGTTAGACTTTCCTTAAATGATTAATGCCTTTCTCCAAAATCAAGAAGCTTTATTTGTATTTTTTTTAAACTAAAGTTTTAAACGATGGGTATTGCAGCACCTTTTAATCATAGAATGTCATAGATATCTAAAATGTCCTAACTAGTTTTACTTCCTCCCTCCCCCCACACTTTTTCCTTATTTTCCCATCTCCATTTTACCAGTCTTCTCAGAACTTCTTCCACTTGGGGAAAAGTGATGCAGCAAAACAAGGAATGAAACTCAAAATCTGCTACTCTAACAGAACTTGGAAAAATTTGGAAAAGTTATAGGAGCTGCATCATTCCAGTTTCATTTTTTTCCATTTTGCCAAGCTATTGCTTTTAGATACTTCCCCAAATTTGAAAAAGGTTACAGAGCAGCAAACTAAGACAAAAACCCTAGACCTCATTCATGTTGTTGCACTCTGTAGCATATTAAAAAAATAAAGGTGGGTTGGGGAGGGGAGACATTAAATTTAAAAATCTAGAATTTATCCTAAACTATTTTGTGGGGAAGAAAAAGGTTAAATGAAAATGTCTTTGGTTCTGAGCTTGCAAAAGGAAAACCGTTAAAAAATGTCCATTTCTTTTTCTTTTGCAAAACTGTTTTCCATCTTTCTACTAGCTCGACTTGGGAGTTCCATCCCAGCAAAGGACTTGGCCACTGTTCAAGGTTCCCATTATGGTTCACTGTGTGGACATCACATAAGTTGCTACCTGGTTGGAAGCATTTGATTTGGGGGAGAAACAGCATTGTATAATGGTGCAAAGAAAAACAACCCATACCTGGCATAGGTAGCGGTGGTAGGAAATCAATTGGTGGCATCTCAAATGCAATGGGTGGAGGTGCAGGCACATCTGCCAGAGGAGGTGGCATTGGGTCTATGCCCATCAGGGGAGCTGGCACAGCTGTGGGCAAGGTAGGCGGTGGAGGTGGAGCTTCAGGTACCTTTGCATTGATGCTTCCAGGGAGGCTGCTGTGGGTACAAAGAGAGAGTAGTCAGCATGCTCAGAAAGCGAATGCTAGAAGTCAGGCTAAATTTTAGTCTAGCCTCTCTCTGCCACCTGGGTAAACTGAAATGCAAAGCTGTTTCCTACCTCTGCCTTCCTGGAAGTTACAGATCTGAAACTTTCCCCCCTGGCTCTGGTGTTAGCACACAGGTGAGTACCTGCCAGCTGGGTTAGACGCAGCTGCAGAGTAAGGTGTCAATTTGGGAAGGCAGGAAGATGTTTGGTGGAATACAATACGGTGGATGGAAATGGAGCAGAAGATCTAGAGAACCTCCAGTGGGATCCCTTAGGCAGTGGTGGCGAGTGGCACCGTACTTCTGTCACATATGTGTGCTGTAGCAGGATGGGATCTATTGACCAAAATGTTTTTCCATTGAAAAATACAGTTCAAACCCAAATGCAAGCATTTCCCATGAAACGTTTGGTATTTGCTGCACTTGTCAGTTAAAAAAGTCATAACAAAATGAAAATGTTGATATTGCTGTAAATCTTAGTTTTTATTTTGCTTCTTGCCACCAAGAAGGTTAAGTTATTTGGTTCTGCTCTGTGGCTTGTTGGGGTTTTGTGTCTGTCCCCCCCCCCTCCCGCCCCCCCTTCCCTCTTCTGGTTTTTTTTTTCTTTCTTGTTGCTATCCCATGTTTTTCAAAAGAAAAAATGGGATGGTAGAGAGGGAAAAAGGGAAGTGGGAAGAAAAATCCAGAGGTACAATATGGAAAGAAAATGCCCAGGGCAGTCCTCTCACCCTTCTCTCCCTGGCAGTGTGTCCTGTAGTTTTCTAGAGGAGCAGTGCTGCCAGGGGGGAACTTTAACTCCATTTTTTTTTTACCGCTGAAGACCATTTTGAGAGGGTAAAAAAAAAAATTGCTGATTTTGTTAGGAAAACAAGATTAATTCTCTCCCCAGCTGCCACAAACATCACTGCTACTCTATAAAGCTACAACTCCCCAAAATCCTTGCTCTCCGTGACACACATTACCTGCCCCGGCTGCTCTTTGCAGCTGGAGAGTGGTGGTGGGGCACGGGATGAGAGGATGCGGTGCCCCCACCCCTGTCCTTCTAGTGCCCCTCCTCTAAGGTGGTGTCCAGGGCATCCCACTGCCCACCTCATATTATGCTACTGGAAAGATTCCACCAACCCTTGGAAAAATAACAAACTAGAATAAATATTTCGGTTTCAAAAACTGAAATTGCATCTTCAACTCAAAGCATGAATTTTAGTTTCAAAATGTTTCTCACAGAAAATGACTGGAAACACTGCAAAAAAACCCCAAAACAAGTGAAATGAAGCGATTCACGAGACTCGCTCTGTGGAATGGGTTTTTCTTAACAGTGCCAATTAAATTTCCCAACCATGGGGCTCCCCCAGACCTCAGATCCATTCTCAACTCTGCTGCAGGGCTGCATGTCACTTCACCTCTACATTTCCCTGAGGTGCAAGCCACCCATCCCCTTTTAGGATGGACAGTGAATACCAAGCTGCTCAGACACCTACCTGAGCGATGTTAAAGATAATGTGGAGGTTGAAGCTGACAGTTTGCCTTCAGGAACCACAGGAGGCTGTATGGGCTCTGCGACACGAGGGTTTCTCCTGCAATCAAGACAGACATATTCAGACCCATAATGAGTACCTTGGTTTTGGGAAGCAAACTCTTTGTCCCTTACCAAGTAAACACAAAGCATTTGACCCTGAGATTTGCCTAGGTGTTGGTCACAGATCTGCAGGAATGTAATAGTGATGGGTTAGAGTCAGTGCAATGCAGTGGTCCAAGACTTGGGAGATCTGCAGATGGTCTATTCCAAACTCTGCCACTGACCTGCTGCATGACCTCAGCCAAGTTACCTTTCCTCCCTGTCTCTGTCCCAGTCTATTGGCCTGTAAGCATGTTGAGACGGGAAATATCTCACTGTGTACTTGGACGGCACTTGAAACAATGGGGCTTCAATGAACATAATACAAACCATAACAGAAAGAGGCCGCTTACCTAAACCAGAGCCCTGCATGACGGGGAAGATTATCTGACTGCATTAAGCTTCCTCATCGTGTAGGTGAATTCTGTCCTCTTAAACTGACACAGGCTCTTTTTTACCCAATGCAGAGCCAGCCAGAGCAGGGCAAAACAAATTCCACCACTGTACTCCACCAAAATATTTCACCTTGAACCCCTGGAAGCTAATCTATTGCTGACAGTGGCTTTCTGCATCAAGTGTATAGTTTATGGCGTGGTGTACACTATCAAGTGTATAGTTCTGGTGGGAGTTGCCCTGGTTCCTGGGCACAAGGAAGGAGATTGGTCTCTGTAACCATTTCATCCATGGGGTGATAAGGACATGCTGAATGCTGTCCCTGAGTGTGCTTCTGATAAGCAGTATTGACTCTAAACCTTACAGCCTGCATGACTTTGCTCCCTCTGCTACACCCTCTGTGCCCTACAGTTAATAACAGCCCTCTTCCTTTTGTGAATGAATTTATTCAGTGGTGCTCAATCTTTTAGCACTGTGGTCCAGATGAGTGGGCCAGTCTGCAGGCTAGATCAAGCCTAGTGCTGCCTTCACCCAGCCCCTTGCTCCCAGATTGGGCCCATGTGACCTCAACTGGCCTTGGGAGCCCAAATTGGGTCTTGCTCTGTCTCTGCCTAGCCCTGCATGACCAAATGGGGACCACACTGCCTCTACCCAAATTAGGCCCCATGCCACCCCAGCCTGGCCCTTTGTGTCTGGATCAGGCCCGTACTACCCCAGCTGGGCCTGTGCTTCATGATGGGGCCGACACTGCTCTCACCTCGTTCTGCATGACCCAATTGAAGGGTCAAGTGAGGGCTTCCCCTAGTTCAGAAATTTGGCAGCAAGGGAGCAGCAATTAGTCCTGCCATCACTTCCCCACTGCCAAATTTTCAGACTAGGAGAAACCCCTGGATAACACAGCTCTGCAGGCCAGATGTGGCCTATAGAGCAGGGGTTGAGCATCCCTGGACTTACTCTTCTACATAATCAGGTTACCAAAAGAGACTGTTCTCCTGATTAAGTTCTCATTTCTCCATAGGTTTACTGTCCACTTCTCTTTTTAGTGACCATAGATAGAGACAGATAGCTGTGTTAGTCTGAAGTCAGGCAGAAGGCAGGGCAGGGTAGAAATTAACTTGGGGGTTGTCAACGTTTTTGGGCAGAGTGCCAAAAACACCTACAACCTCAATTTATAAGATGTTGGCATGCCAGGGCAGACAGCAGAGGAGCAATGAGGAGCCCAATTCTTGTTGTGGCAGCACAGCCCCAGCCCTTTCCCTGCCGTCCGCCCAGAGGAATGTGCGCCAAGCAAGATGCCTTCGCATGCCATGATCTGACACCCATGCCAGGGGTTGCCTACCTCTGAACTAACTGGTTCAAAGAGGCATAAGCTTTTGTAGGCACAGCCTGCTCCACCAGATGCCATGAATCATAATAGGGTTTAATGTGTGCTAACTCCAGCTGAGTCTATCTGTTTCTTTGCCAGATCTGAGACAGGAATTCTAGGCTCAAAAACTTTTCTAATATTTCTTCCAAATCTAAAGTTGAACCAGTAAAAGATACCAGGTTTGCTTCTTGCAGGGGAGAGGAAGCAAACATCCAACATATCCCAACAGAATGTTTTTTTCCCACTGGAAAATGCTGATGTAACAAAATCAAAGAAGCATAAAATGTTCATAGATGAGAGCTGACTTCATTAGCTGGCAGGTGACAGCCTATAAAAGCTTATACCTTTCTAAAAGATTTCGTTTCTAAAACTTCAGACTAACACTGCTAGCAACTTCTCTCTCTCTCTCTGGAATCTATTGATTTGGTTAATTATTGATGGGAAATTATCTAAATGTTTTATTTTGACTTTAACAGGATAGAATACAGTCAAAAAGAGAAACTTTGAAATGAAATCTTTTAGTGGAGTCAAAATGAAATATGGGCGGGGTGGTTAACAAATGGAAAATTTATATTTCTGCTCCTTGTCCCAATTTAGGATGAAATGAAATTTAAAAATTGCAGAATTTTTCCCCAGCTGGGGAATTTTGTTTTTTGTGGGGTTTTTTACCAGCTTTCCTGGAAGGCTAGGTCAATACTACTATCATCTTGATCATAACCTATATTCAGGACACATGTATAAATGCTTTAAAAGTGTTAATGACTGATTAATGTTTGTTACAGGCTTATTGATTACCTAAGTCACATGTGTTCTTCATGGTTATAAGCACACACTAAGCATTCTAGTTGCTATTGAACCATGGCCTGAACATCCAACTGATCTATTGGATTCTAAAGCAAGTAATCCTCCTAATTACTAAAATATCCACTGAATTATTCATAAACTCTTTTAAACCATGTCTGAATGGAACCTTCCTATAAAAACCATGGCCATATTTGATTAAGGGCCTGTCTCAGACAGATATATGACCATCAGAAGTAGATCTGAAGGATTATTTTCCATTAGGAGGATCTTGCTCTCTCTTTATTGTGGATGGACACAGCAGAGCAGACGGAAACCACATGTCCGTGGGTGCTCCAGGCTCACCCCAGGGTATTTGAAGACTGTCCTGCTGTCTTGATTGATTTCCGAGCCAGGGTTCCTGTCCGGGACAGTTGTGTGCTCTGGTCCTATGGAGAAAGGAGAAAAGGCATCAGTGTCAGTTAGGGGAAAAACAACCCAGAGAAACTTAATTGACAGAAACTCACTGCCTGGAGTATGGGCTGCCAGGGAGGAGTCTAGCTGTGTGCATGGGTGGATCTAGGATTTTCAACAGGGGGGGTGCAGATGGTGAGGTGCATCATCCTCCTTTTTAACAGTTAAAAATAGAGCAGAATTGTCAAAGGAAGTATAACTTGATTAGTGGAACATTAAGGCCATTAAAAATGAGAGAGTTGTTAGCACCTATGGAATGAAGGATTTAGAAGGAATCAAATAGATTATAACAAGCTATGAAGTCAGTTGACTCTGTCACTGCTGCCTGAATAAAAATGCTGCTGCTGTTGTTGCCAGGCAGTTGCTTTTAAACTTTGGGTGGACCAGAAATCAGAGCGGCACCACTGTACCCCCACCCCGATCTCCCCCTGGCTGTGTCAAATGAGAGAAGACCAAGATCACTTTGCATCTTGAAGCTTATCAAGGCTTAGGGAAATTTGCACTAAACATGCTGCACTGGCACAACAAACAAGGGCTTGTTCAGAAGCAGCTTGGCCTGGAAATCTACTGGTTTAGATATACTGTGGGGAGTGGGGGGAGGTCTACATATATACTGGGGGAGGTCTATGCTGATGTAGATAGGGCTGTAGAGAAAGTAGGAGGCAAACTGATCTGTGCTCAGGCTATTGGTCTGCCCATGTTCAGAATAAGTTTCCAAGAGCCAAGCAGGTCTCCATCTATGCTCTGCAGACAAACATTTCTTCACTTGGCATCTCCTTTGGTGGTAAAAGGGAGAAGTCAAGGACTGTGTAGGACTGTGTGGATAACAAAACCAAAGTAAGTGACTTCTCATCTGGATCCAGGGGCATAAGCACATGGCAGGGTGGAGGAAGTTTGGACCATTATATTGGCAAGACAGCATCCACCAGCACTACATTCAAAGGCAATTCGAAATACCTAAAAGGACAAGCGGTCCCTAATAGGACAAACCCACCCCACAACTGCTCTTTATGCAATAAACACAGCCTTTTATTACTGGCTCGGGAGAACAAAGTCCTTGTAGAATCAGGAAGGAAAGCCTGGAGCACAACCACTACAGGGCTGATCTAGAGTCCTTCAAAGTCAATGGGAGTCTTTTCATTGATTTCAGTAGGCTTTGACTCAGGTCTAAGGGAACTAAACACATCAGGTGCCCATTTTGGCAATTTGAGACCTATCTGTTCAAAGGGAGCTGAGCATTTTAGAACATCTGACCCTTCACTTCCTCACTGGGATCTGATTTCTTCTGTTATAGTCTGGTGCACACTCACCCTCTTTGCTTCAGGCCCAAGGCCTCACTGAAAACCCACATCAGGCCAGTGGTGCTGCTCACTGAGGCAGCAAAAATCTGCAATAGCTGTGCTGAGGAAACAGCCCTCTGCATTGCAGCGAGAGCCCTGCTGAGAAAGCGGAGGCAATCGTGGGAACAGTGCAGCTCAGCAGACAACTTCCCCTCCACAAAGCTAACCCAACCTCGGCTAGTTTCGGTCTCGAGTGGCTCCAGTCCCCTGTGATGATGACATCCTCCTGTGTGGGGACTTATCTTTTCTTTAGTTCTTAAATGTAACTTGCAAAGGAGGGGACATAATAAGCAAAGGCTTTGGAGCACTTCTGCTGCTTTCCACTGGATTCCCAAGTGGTGAAAAAGTCTCCTGAGTCTGGAAACAAAAGGATTCTAATTTCCCAGGTGCCAAGAAAGCAGCCTTACACTGAGTAAGACAGGCCAGGAATAGTATCTCATGTCTCGAAAAAAAATTGTTAACTTTTATTGATTCCAAATCTGCAGGGAGGAAAAGATTGTGGGTGTGAAGCCCCAACCTCCCTTGCTCTGGTGGCTGTGGGGAAAAAGCTCTATGCATGCAAATCTGAGCCATCCAAAAAAATAAAAAATAGAGAAGGCAGGGAAGATGTGTTGAAACAGCCAAGAGGCGTCCTTGCCAGATTTGCTTGCAACCTCAGGGAGAAAGGGGAAAGAAAAGGCAAGAACAAGCTTATTTTCATTTTCTTTCCTAGATCGCATTCAAGGGAAGGTCTGGGGCTGGGGGAGAGCGCTGTGGTGGCCAAAGAGAGTTGGAAGAAGACTGCTTCAGTGGATTTGAATCTTCTGCTCTGCTACAAACTCAGTGTATGATCTTGAACAAGTCCCTTAGCCCCTCTGGGCTACATAGACTTCTTCCATCTGGATAATAGCACTGTCCTGTGCTACGGAGGTACGGAGAAGGAAGATGCACTGCAGACTGCAAGTTGCTCAGACAGCATGGCAATGGAGGTCATGTAATTAACTTAGGGACACAGGGAATACTGCTCTTTTCCCCAGGATTCCCCTCTAGGGCAAACATGGGGAGAACACCATCACAAGCAGACTGAAGTATGGGGCACCTTTTCCCTCCCACCCCATGTGTCAGCGCAAGGCTGTGGGGGTTGTTGGAGTGTGAGCAAGCTTGGGTCAGGACAAACAGGGACGGCAAACATCTTTTCTGGTCCTTGGGGCATGGCAAGGTCTCTTGTCCCATCTAGTCCATCTCTGGGGGGCGGGTTACCAGAATGCCAGCTGAGCTGCACCATGCTTTGCTAGTTCATACCCAAGTTGGTAATCAATGGCTCTGTTCTCTGATGGCCTAAAGCCCCGTTGGCCTTGGGCAGTCCTGTTTCCCTCCATTCCAAGACTGGGTCACTCCAGCACTGACCTCGCCCTTTCTCCTCTGGCCACAGCTCCCCCAAGGCCTCTGTCACTTGCTGAACGCTAGTCTCATGTCTTTCAAAGAGGAACGGGAGGGCCCATCTGTGGTTCACCAGACGACTCCAGCTCTCCACAAAGGAAGTGCTTGGAGACTCTCTGTTGCTCGATTAATCAAGTCTGCTGAACGTGGCAATTACCGTGGTCCAGCAGCCGCCTATGTCTCATGTACCAGCTTTAGTTTTGTCGAACGAGCTTTCATTGAACAAGCTTTAGTTCAAGCACCCCAGCTGCCATTTTTAAGTGCAGGGACACCGATACATGAGACGCAGTGGCACTTCAGCGCGGCTCTCAGAGCCACTCTAATCAAAGTGCCACCCCCGGATCACGTATAAAAGGCCAGGCCTCCAGCCATAAAACAGGGCTAATGCTTCCAGGTCTTACAGGAGCATCAAAGGATTAAATGTTTGTAAAATGCAGAGTAGATCCTTCTCCTACCCATCACTCCAGCCCTGTACATGCCAGATTGGACCCAGCCCCATATGCAGTGAATTGGGCTTGCTACTTCAGCCCCAGCTCCATGCACAGTGAATCAGGCTCAGCAGCCCAGCCCCAGCCCTGGCCCTATGTGTGCTTACTGTCCCAGCCCTAGCCCTAGCCTTGGCCCTACATGGACTACATCAGGCTCGCTGCTCTGGCCCGGATGCTGGATCAGGGCTTTTGACTCAGCCCTGCTCACAGGCCCTATGCAGTACACAGGGTCATGTCATCTAGCTTGCGGGGTTTGGAAATTTGGGGGCAGGGGAGCAGTGCCACCACACCCCCACTGCCAAATTTCTGGACCTGTGAGAAGCCCTGCAAGCCAGATGACACTGCTCTGCAGCCCAGAGGTTGAGCACCACTGCTCTAGGTGACAACATTTCTCTTTCTTGGCTTGTAAACAACACTGCTGGCTCAAAAACTTCCAGCCAAGCTACAGTAATTCTTACTTGGAGCCTCAGTGAGGTCGCTTCACGCACTGCCTGGCCAAGGAACAACCCTCAGACATATTTCACATGCGGTATTGCCTGACCTTAATCCCATGGCCAACATCATCCAGGATGCTGAAGTTGAGGGGCTTCCGGAAGTAGGGTTCCCGGCGTTCCAGGTTCTGTGGGTAGATGATTTTCTGGTAGAGTGGTGGCTTCTTGCAGACAGCCAATGTCCCGATCTCCCGACGAACCACCTTCTCCTTGTGCATGTCAACCATCTGCAGAGAATCACCACCTCTCACTGTCATCACACAGTCCTCTTTTGAGGGGGGGGTCCTTCAAAACCAAGACTTGCAAGTCTTCAGAGACATAAGTTCTGCACCCACCCCCTGCTCCCAACCCTTAAATTCAGGGAGGTCCAGCTGCAAAAATACTCTCCTCCTCTCAAAGGAATGGGCTCTGACTAAACCTAGGATGGCTGGGAGCCAGGACTCCAAGGTCCCCTTTTTGGCTGTGCTATGAACTCTTAGTTGCACCAGCCTCTATGAAGTGATGGGAAGGATTGCTATCTCACAGAGAGGATGCCCTACTAACTAACAGCTGCAGTATTAGGCATGCTGAAGGCGAAATCCTAAGCTGATGCACCAGCGTTCCTCCAGTGACCTCCCCAGACCTACACCAATTTATACCAGCAGCAGATCGGGCCCTTAGAGATCTCTGAAGGACAGGGCAAGGGGCCAGAAGGGATGGTGAAAATGGTGATTATTTTTGCTCCAAAACACACAGGCTGCTGTTAATCCATTTCACTGCTGCTTCCTGAGGAGTTTTTCATAATAAATTAAGACTCCCCAGTGAACAGGAAAGTTACCAAGCAACTTTCAAGCAACAGGAAGGGGGCTGGCGGCTGTCACTGTGGGCTCTGCACGCATCCGTATATTCCAGGAGGATAAGAGGGGGTGGGGTGGTGAACATGCAGATTCCCAGGGGCTTTATGAGCGAAAGCAAAGCCTTCAGCTTGCTGAAGAGGCTGCATTTCCTTTGCGGTAAAGGACAGTGCACGTGAGAAGTTAGCAGCCAGCTCCAGGGTGTCTCCACCAGCCCCTCTCCCAGGTTGTAGTGTGTGTGTGCGCGCAAGCTGCAGTGCCAGGGAAGGCTTTTTGTGAGGTTCTCAGCATCCCCCAGCCCTCCTGTTATGCAGTGGGGGCAGTGGTGACAGGCGTTCAGCCCCTCTGAAAAACAGGCCTCAGAGTACCCCTGAAAGGTTCAGTGGGGGAATCACCAATTCTTAATAGGATGACACCTCAAGGAACTTCATCAGGGACACAGGCCCCTTTGTGCCAGATGCAGATTTGCACATTGGAGCTGTAGCCACTAGCTAGTCTATAGGGGGACAACACCCCAGCCAGGAAGCATGACCTGGGGAGGACCCTGCTGCAATAATATGTAGTGGACCCCACTTGTGCCCTCAGGGATATTTGACCCCCCCAGAGCTTCAGTGCTAAAAACACAAGCACTCCCCCTGCGCCCTGCACTGCACACGCTGTAGTCCACATTCTCAGTAGTATTTAGGCAACCAACTTCCATCAAATTCAACTTCCATTTTAACTTTCTTCCTAAAATTGATTCGTGTTGGTTCTTTGGAGACCTCTGCAGGTTTTGGCCTAAGTATAATCATAGAATCACAGAAAAGCAGGCCTGGAAGGGACCTCAGGAGGTCATCTAGTTCAATCCCCTGCTCAAGACAGGATCATCACTGTCTTAGTTAGCTCAGACAAGTGTTTGCTTAATCTACTCTTAAAACTGCATGGCCAACCTTCTCACACAGCTACCAGACACAAAGCCCCATTACCAAGAACATCTTAATTTGCCACAGGTAAATTAGGGGCACAAGGGCACTGCCACTGTCCCACTGCTGCAAGGACAGGAACTACTTTGTTAAAACGCATTTGAGAAACCCAAGGAAGAGGATCATGTCCTCCAGTACAGAGGAAGGCAAAAACCTTCATAGTCCACGCCAATCTGACCGTGGGGTAAAATTCCTTCCCCATCTTAAAAATGGCAATCAGTCTGACCCTGAGTGGAGGGGTAAGACCCTCTAACCAGGAACCTCCAGGTTTTTCAGCACCAGCATAAGCCTCTGGACCAATCTCTGTGTACGGCTGAAGACTCACCTCCCCACAGTGTAGCTGTCATAGGCAATGGGTCAGAGCATGTTCCTCAACGTTGCATGTTCCCACCCACCTGTGCAGTAGAGCAGATGCTGGCTTCCAACTGGCACAGTTCAGCCGCCTGCAAGTCCAACATTTTCAGGACCTTGCTGGCCAGGTTGCTGATCTGGTAGGCCACACTAGCCAGGGACTGGGCACTGTAAGCCATGGTCTCCTCCAGGGCTTTCCGCTTGTCTTCTGCCTGAAAGAGAAAATGTCTGAGTCACCCAGCCCAGAAGGAACATTAGTACCACTGCAATGGAGTAAAAAGACCTGGAGAGCCAGGAGCCTGGTGTGGCCCTGCCTGTTGAGCTGGGGCATTAAGGGGTGGGGAGAAAGGCTGCATTTGACATTTTACCACCACATTCTTTACAACATTTTGTCCTTGGGGAACTCAGATAATAGCTCTTTGGCCTCTAGGTCAACCATCTTGGTGTCTTAAGAGAAGGGAGAAGATGGCAGAGGAGGCTGGTCTTTTTGTTGCTTGTGAATGTCAAGTTCATTTCAGGGGCAGGTTTGACAGCTCTGGACACTCTGTCTCCAGGGCGTGCTCAATGCAAACTTCTCCCTGCGTTAGCACCATCCCCTGCTTTTATGCCTGGGTGTGGTTTCGAAGAGGCCATCCTCTAGGGAGAAGGGAGTTCGATTTTCAGCAGCCAATTGGCTTCACAAGCAAGACTGTCAACAAGGGGAGCAAACAGACACCAAGCCCTTGGAGCCAAGCTGAGCCCACCGACTGTTCACACAGACCTCCAAGCAGCCTCCAGAAATCTAGTCTGATAAAATACTAGCTTTCATGTATGCGAACCATTGCTCTTTTATAGGTAGAATTAGAATTTCTCAGCTGTGTGTTAGAAGCCCTATACTCACTGCTAATGGAGAGTCTCTTTTATTTGAAAAGTTAACAGTACTGCCCACTCCCCCCCACGCACACACGTCATATGAAGTTTTTTTAAACAAGAACATCCACATTCTAGCCCTGCCATTACTACACAATTCCACACATCACAATCTGCCCCAAAGAGCCAGCAATGAAATCTCCACAGGCACGGATGGGTTGCACTGTTTTTTCATCCAAGCCAAACTCAGAAACCTAGGACCTGCCCCTGGCCCCTTACAAGGCCCCTTGTACTGAGAGAGGACAGGCTGGTCAATTATACCCTCAAAAAGTTGATTATTGTTGGCAAGAGGTGGTGTTCGTAGGAAGCAGAGCGGTCCAAAGGCAGATTCTTTAGAGACAGCACCTTTTAATTTCAGTCCAGCTTAATTTGAGGACATTTCCTTCTGCTTTCCAAATGTATCAAACTTCCTTCACTAGCATCAACAGAACGGAGGCAGGTCACTGACACCAATTACTCAGTGGTGCTTGTTTCTGTCTAAGACTAACCACACCCGGGCCTTGTTGTGAGGATAAATGAGCTGTTATTCCTAACAGGAATGAAAAAAAGCACAGATGAGTCCTCACATGGAAAGAGGGGAAACCAGTAGCTCAGTAGCACTGCAGGACAAAAGGAAATGAAATCTGTTTCATTAATGGAAATAAAGGCCTGATCCAAAAGTCCTGCAGGCTGTGGTGAGACTCCCATTGACTTAACTGTATTTTGGGCCAGGCCCTAAATTCCAGTTTTCTGTTCCAACAGATGTAACTTCTAAAGTAAGAGTCAAAACACAGGCAATACCTCTATGCTGCTGTGTTTCTGCCAGCTGGGATTTCCTGAGCTCTCACAAGCTGAGCAGCTCTAGGTGAGCTCAGTTTTTGCATGTCAGCTAGTGATTCAATAGATCACCCTTCTCTCTGTACCAGCACTTCTATCCTGGTGTTAAGAAGAACTTGGTTCTGCTTTCCAAGCTATTGTCTATTGGTCATGATAAGAGATTGCAGAGGTAAAAGTGAATCACCACTACAGCTTGACTGCTAACCCCAGCATCCTGGCCAGAAGCCATCTTGAACATTATGTCCTACATCATAATATTGACATTCCACCTTTATGTCCAACCATTCAGCTGTTTGTGCTATAAAAAGGTGTTGTATGTGACCCTGGTGTGCCATCCCAGTAGTGGTCGCATTTCAGAAGGAGCAGTTAGTTCACTTCAGACAAAGAATTGGGGCAGGGAGCTGGACTCGATGATTTTCCAAGGTCCCTTCCAGCCTTAATGTCTATGTTATCTATGAAATTCATACAGCCTTTTGAATCTACGTGGAGGGAAGGTGATTAAACCCTTGGACCTGGGCTTAGGAAACCTGGGTTCAAATCCTGTTTCAGCCATGGGCACCTGGTGAGGGGCTGAGCCAGTTACTGAACCTCTGTGCATCAGTTTCCCCTTTATAAAATCTGGATAATGTTCCTTTGTCTATTTAGAGTGAGCAGCACCCATCAGCAGAGACCCCCAACCTCAACTCTGGCTTCCTGTCACTGACAAAATGCAAATGATACGATCAATTCAGAACCATTCTTTATTGCCATTTGATGGAAGGCTGTGATGCTTCAGTGGCCAGGGAAGGAAAGACGCTGACCTTTCTTTCCATAAGCAGGTGCAGGACAACACTGGACTGACCTGTGAGGCCCCTTCCTGCCCCATGAGACCCTAGAACAGCCCTCCCCCAGCAACTGTCACTGAAACCTGATGAGAAAGAGCAATAGGGAGGAACTTCAAGGTCAAAGCCACAGTTCAGAGACATAGGGCCTTCATTTCAGGGGATCCTGCCGCTTCACAGGTGTGTGGGCTGAGCGGTATCAAGCAGCCTTCCTCTCCACATTTCCTGTCACGCATTGCAATGAGGACCATTTTCACCCGTGCACTGACCTGTAACATCTTTCCCCATATTAATGTGTGAATAATGTACCATGCTTCCCCTTTAAGCAAAACATAAAATCTGTCTGAAGTCATCAAAACAAACACTGAACAAATACAAGGGGTCCTTTAGTCTTTTCCCACCATATATTTCAGTGCCTATAACCACAGACCAACAGGATGACTTCACAGCTAAGATACTGGCTAAGACTCAAAACATGTAGGTTCAATCCTTGCCTCTGCCACACACTCCTTGTATGACCTTGGGTAAGTCACTTAGTCCTCCTGAACAAGTCCCTATCCAGAAATGGAGATAATGCTTCCTTGATTGGTCAGTCTTATCTATTTGAAGTATAAACTTTTTTGGGGATAAGGCAGTCACTAGCTATGTGTTCGTAAAGTACCATAAACAAGAAGGTCTTTAAAAGCTTCTGTAAGACAGTTCCAAATATGGGCTTGTCTGGTATCCTTTCAGAGACACTGTTCTGTCTCTAGGCTTTATATTGCTGCCTGGCATGGCACTTTTCATGTAAAAGCAGGAGGGAAATCCCTAGCAGGATCCTACCAAGGGAGCTATCCCCTGCTTTGGTTTTCACCCTTTGCTCTGGGCTATCCCAGGAGTTGCCACAGCTCGGGCCTGGGCTGTGCTTTACTAGGACAAGAGAGATCTGATGAGTTATATTTTGCAGTCACAGGGGTCATTACTTTTTTGGCCACATAAGTCTGATCATGCCTGCTTAGCAGATCAGTAGCTGTTTGTCATTATCAGCAAAGTAGCACCCACAAACCCCAGCTGAGATCACACCCTCCTCCACTGGATGCCATACAAACCTATAACCACTGTCTTCACAATGGGAGAGGTGTGTTCTCAGTTCAAGCTTGTGTTCTCAGACAAGGCGGTGTGCCATTTTTGCACAAGTTAGCTAGCTGAATTAGAAAGGAACTGGGGTTCAGATCCTCAAAGGTACCTAATTCTCACTGGAGCCAAAGGGCATTAGACACCCAGATCTCTTTGAGAACCTGGGCCAAGGCTCCAACTTGAGTGAAGAATGCCCTTTCTCTCCACGGTGCAGACAGGGCCATAGTGTGGGAGTTAATGCACTAAAATGTTGACAGTCTAAGGCAGTACTTCTCAACCAGTATGCCACAGCATGCACTTCTCTGAGATGACAGCAAACCAGGGGCAGAGCCAGGATGAGAACCCAGGGATCACACTACAGCCCAGTGCAAACTCACTCCCCAAAGCTACAATGATTTTTCTGTTATGCACAGGCTACACAACACCCCTCTTAATCTTCTGTACTCTTAATCTTCTGTACGAGCTGCCTTTCTCCACAGCCTCACAACCCCCAGTGACTGCTGCACCTGCTGTTTCAACAAGCTGCCACTTGCCACATTTCTTCCTTTCCCAGGCAGATGTCCTGGCTCCTCCTAGCCCCAGACACCTCCCCTGGAGCCACAGGGCACAGCTGGGCATGCGGAGGCCAGCAGGGACACACTCACCTGCATGTAGTTGTTCTCACAGTAGTCAGCCACTTTGTGGAGGTTGCTGTAATTGTCCCACAGGACCTGTCTGGCAGAGGGGATCTCATGCTGCTCTAGCTGCTGCAGCTCAGACATACTGCTCTGGGTTGCTGCTTTGCTCTGCTCTTCTACCACTTCCTTCTCTGTGAGGTCTGCTGTCTACACAAGAGTTTTGAACCTTGCAGCTCTCAGAGCCATTGGCTGGGGGCCCAGTCACACTCGGAACTGGCCTCCACCTCCCCTTTGCATTGTGGAGACAAGCTGACGCCTTCAGCATAAACCCTCAAGGTTCACTGCGATCATGGCCTGTCATCCAATTGGCTGAGTTTGAGGGATCCCTGCCCCAAAGCCTTTGCTAGCTGCCCTCACAGCACAGTCTGCATCCGAATACTATCACAATGACTGAGGAAGAATAGGAAATTGCCACCCGACACATTGTTCTAGACCTGTGTCTGTGTACTGGACTCCCCCACCCTCCGGGAGGCTTGGGCTCAGACTGGATCGCAGTGCAAAAAGAGGAGGCAGCCCCAGACAGGTGTTAAAGCAGAGCCAATCCCCTCAGCCTGGGTCCGGAGGGACGAGAATCGATGGAGACAGCAGCACACGCTAGCAGACATGCTCCAGGGACACTCCAGGGACCAGGGTGAGAGCAAAGTAGTGGTCATAGAGGATGTGAGTCATGCTTTCCTGAGGCAGGGAGAGGGGAAAAGTGGGGCTGAACTTTCAGGCTGCCTCAGGCTCCTCAGCCTGCCCCACTTCTGCCACCTGCTTGCAATGTTTGGTCCAACAGTCATGACTAAACCAGATGTGGTCCTTGAAGCCTCCTGATGGAAACACAGCCTCACAGCACAGCTCTGGAGCAAAAGGCTTGGCCCTTCTGAAGCCAGCAAGGGGAGAGCTGAGGGCAAGAGCAATAAGGTCCTGGGTTGCCCGCCACAGTGAGCCCTGCACCATCCTCAGAACCAGCTGGAAATCTCCATCTAGCTCATAAGCAGGCTCAGCCCTGCTCTTTAGACCTTGATTGCATGCCGCACAGAGGGAACCTTATCTAACTGTGTCTTCACCTGACCACAAGCAAGGACTTAGCACACTTTACATCCAATCTATGCTGTAGCATGGAACACCAGACTCTTCCTCGCTGTGCTGTGCTGGCATTGTGTGCCCTGCAGCTGGGGTTTTTTCAAGCTTGGGCAAGTCCCCATTGGCACGGAGCCCACTTCACCCACAAAACAGGCAAGATGAAGGAGGATATAAAAGGAGATTCCCCAAGCAACCAGGAAGGAAGTGGACAGGGACAGTGAAGAGGGAAGTTTGTAAGCAGTTCACTGGGAGCAAGAGGAAGAAGGAAAAGAGGAAGAGGAGCCAGACACCAGATCCTGCTCCTGGAAGGTAAGTGAGCTAGGGCTGTCTGTGTGTTTGGTTTGCTGCATGAACACCACATGCCCTCAGAGGCTGGGGGTGCATGGTGAGCTCCCGCAGGCAGTGGCAGTGGCAGTGGCAGTGGCAAGCAAGAAGCTCCCACAGGCAGCCACGGCAGTGTCAGCAGCAGCAGGGGGGAGGGTGATGAGTGCCAACTGGTGGTTGGTGACCACTTGCAGACACTGCTGGCAGCGGCGCCAGTGGCGATCACAGACCACCCGCAGTGTCGGCAGTGCCTTTTCGCAGGGGGTGCACCACCATGCTCAGGGAGCGCACATGCACCTTCATGCACCCCCTACGCATCGCCAATGGTTTGCTGAGTGTTTGTTTGGTGAGCTGTGTGTTTGGGCATGTGCTCTGAGCAGCTGAGAGCACTGCTAGCTGGGGGATTGCTGCCCATGTCTGACACAAGCCCTAATAAGGGGGTGGAGGCAGTCCAGGCCCAGGAGGGTATAAAAGTAGACTCCTAAGTGACCAGGGACAGCAAACTGGGCAGTCTGGAAGGAGTTTACTGGGAGCAAAAGGAAGAAAGAAAAGAGGAAGCAGCACCAGATCTTGCTCGCAGCAGGTAAGTGAGCCAGGGCTGTCTGCATATTTGGTTTGCTGAGTGTTTGTTTGGTGGGCTGTGTGTTTGGGCATATGCCCTGAGCAGCTGGGAGAGCTGCTAGCTGGGTGATTGCTGCTTGTGTCTGACAAAAGCCCTAGCGAGGGGGTGGAGCCAATCCATGCCCGGAGGGTGTAAAAGAAGACTCCCTGAGTGAACAGGAGGGATGGCAAACAGGGCAGTTTGCAAGTTCATTCTTTCCTGGCAGGGGAGAAACCATGATGTGGCTTTCTGCCCAGGTGGTTTTACTTACCTGGCAGGGCAGATACCCTTCTTCTCAGCCTGACTCGGTGTAGTTAGAGAGGGCAAAGCCCTGCCCTCTGTCCCTGATCCCTGCAAGAGTCTACAAATGCCTCCAAATGCAAGAATATCAGCTACACAATTTATGGTGATGGGGGATTGCTCTTGGACTTTCCCTCTAACTTCCTCCTTTGCCCCTTTTGGGTAAGGGCAAGCGAGGCTAGGGGGCATCTGAACTTCAAGGCGACCAGGCTTGGGGCTTGCATGTAGAACGCCTGCCATAGATTTGGGCGTATCTGAAGTCTCGGGCAGAAGAGTTTGGGAAGTTATTATACGTGCTGGAGGTAGCACCACACAGACTTGAATGATTGAGCTCTGCTCAGTCGATAGAACTCCAAACTGATTTGGCCCAAGACATGACATTTAAAAAAAAAACAAAAAACAGTTTGCAGGTCAGTTTACTGCCCCCCTCTTTGAAGGGGAGCCTTTAATTAAGCACTCTCTTTAATTAGGAGTAACTAATTTATATATATTTAGCATAAGTATATTAAGCATAATACTTAAGTTCCTTGTTTAACTAGAGTCCAGAGTGAGGGACAGCTTGCTAGGGAGTTTACCTGGAAACTCTCTCTCGCCTTCCTTCGCTGTTAGCTTAGTGAGAGGAAGCAGGTTAGCAGGCAAAAAGGAACCTCTCAGGACCAAGGAGCAATGACCAGGCTAGCTTACAGGAGAGTTTGCTAGGGAAGGTCTGCTTGAGGAGAGATGTAGGAGCAGAGGCGGTAGATTAAGAAACCCAGAGAAATGGTTGGAGGATGTTGCAATTCTAGAGCCACTGCCACTGCTAGCTCTTCCTTTGCTTGCATCTGTCCAGGCAGGACTGCTCACAATCAAGGCTTCCACCCAGGTCCTGGTTTGGCACTGCATACACTGTGGCTTGCAGATTCCTTCCAGTGACAGCCAGGTGAGGGAGTGCCTGCAATGTAAGCAGTACCTTCTGGTGCTGTCCCTCAGGTGCTGGGAGCTGGGGCAGCCATTGCTGGGCTGGGAGAGGGGCGGGGCATGGGCCTGGCCTGGATGATTTGGAGATTCAGCCGCTGCCGAATCGCTGAATTGAATCACTGTCCTCCAAATCGGTCAAATCCAAAGAGAATACTAGCCGCTTCGCACAGGCCTAAGGGCAAGGCTCTGAAGCATCCTCTGCCATGAGGACTTCATCAGTTCAGTGCTGGAGGATACCTCTAGGACTGTGGAGGGAGGACTGCCAGAGGCAGCACTAGAAGGGAAGAGGACACAGATTCCCAGAAAGATGGAAGCTGGAAGCTTGTGAGCTCTGGCAGCAAGCAGAAATGTTCATCTTCACCTGCAGTGGTTTGCCTGGAGAACAGATACGGAGCCCTAGCAACAGAGGAGGAGGAACAGAAACATGTCCCATTGATAGAAGAGGCCCCATCCCCAAGTTTGGGAGGATTGAGACTAAAGCCCCCATCATGTCCCAGCCAGCCCCTCTGCAGCATGTTGAGCTGGGTTGGAGGAGCCCTGGACTGGCAGGCTGAGCCCCTGGGGCCCCTGCCAGCTGTGGCTGCTCCAACCCAGCTCAGTGTGCTGCAGTCCTGGGCCCACATTCAAACAGCATGCTCAGGAGCAATCATGCTGGAGCTAATTGCTGCATGCTAATAAAACATGTAAATGCACCCAGTGAGGATTTCATTGCAATCTTCAACTACCTGAAGGGTGGTTACTATGAAGATGGAGTTAGACTCTTCTCAGTGATGGCAGATGACAGAACAAGGAGCAATGGTCTCAAGTTGCAACAAAGGAAGTTTAGGTTGGATATTAGGAAAACATTTCTCACCAGGAGGGTAGGTAAAGTACTGGAGCAGCCTACCCAGAGAAGCTGTGGAGTCTCCATCCTTAGAAGCTTTTAAGACATGACAAAGCCTTGGCTGGGATGGTATAGTTGGGAATGGCCCTGCTTTGAGCGGGGGGTTGGATTAGATGACCTCCTGAGATCTTCTCCCTTCCAAACCTAATTTTCTATGATTCTATAAAGTAGTACAGTTCTCACCTTAGCCCTGAGTGAAAATACTATAAGAAAAGGTCTAAGAAGGGTCAAAGCTTGAGGGAGAAACCAATAATAATGATAAAACAGCCCAGCCTGAGAGCAGCATCCCATGGTGCTAGGTGCTGTACAGACCCTCAGACAAACCATTCCTGTCCCCAAAAGCTTGCCAGTTTTTCAAAGCCCTTTTGCAGGTGTGGACACCCAGAGGTCCCTGGGGTTGAGGCAAATTTCAGACAGATGAGGCAGATAGATAACTATCATACATTTTCCAGGGGGAGAGTGGCTAAGCAGTCACCCAGGGCAGTGCTTTACCTAATAGGCAACTCTCTCTGACCTGAAATATATTCTAGAGTCCTCCCTAACATGGTGTGGGCATCTGCTGGCCTGTTAGTTTATGCTCCCAAGGGAGCACATTGTGCTGTCAAGTAGCCATCTGTAGCTGAAATGTGTGTTCAGAGGCTGGTTTCACAAAGTCGTACAGCCTGCCCTGACAAACTCTATAGCCACGTCACTTGTACCATTAATCTCCAGCAAGACCAAGAGCCCAGGCAAAGAGTAAAAGCAGTCAACTCCCTCCCCTGCAATCCCAAGGGCTGGAGCCTTGCTTCCTGCTTCAGCCATGCCTCCAGGGCAGAGTCAGGCCTGGGGTAAGAACAGGGGTGGGCAATTATTTTGGGCAGGCTGCTTACTGAGTTTTTGCAAGCCATCGAGGGCCACATGACAGGCAGCCAGGGCCAGATAAATATTAATTTTCTAAATTTTTTAGGGGCCCCACGGGCCAGATAGAATGGCCTGGCGGGCTGCATCTGGCCCGTGGGCCGCATTTTGCCCAACCCTGGATAAGAAGGTACAATTCTGTTACACTCATGTTCCACCTTTGGGAAGACCTTTGGCTGAAGAAGTGATACAGATAAGGGAGAGATGGCAACTGCTGCCAGGGGGCTGATCTGGGAAGGGAACATTTATGTTCATCTCTGACAAGGAAGGCTTCCTTGATGCTAGTCCTAGCTCCATACGCAACCACATTTCTGCTATCATTGCCCCACTGGTTTTCTCATCGGTCATGGAACATCACTTCCATGAGGTGTTCTCTTCCCTGGTTTGCCCCATCGTGGCTGTCTGAGGGAGAATGAATGCACGTGCCTAGCCGTCTGCTCACATTCAGCCCTCCAGTCAAGTTACACCAGGAGTGAGTTTGGCCCATGATGAACAAATGAAATCTGCTGGAAGGTGGTTAACACTCTGCAGTTTTTACCATGCACATAAATTCATGGTGAAAACTGCATGGGGGTGGTTACTCCAGGCCAAGGAAGTGCTGGGCTCTGTTGTAACTAAATGAACAGGCCTGAAGGTGATCGCTTCATCTGCATGAGGGTGCACATGGGTGGAGAGTCCTAATGAAATGGACTGAGCATCCTGGTGTCCAAAGTCCTCCATCTCTGGAACAAACAGAACAATCATTTTTATGACAGCCACCAAATCAATCCTCAGCCTACCGTGAAAGACCATTGTTGTCATCAGCCAAGTGATGTAATTTAACCTCTCTCTTCCTCTGCTGAGACTGACTAGGAAGCCAGTCAATGCCACCTGTGGCTGTGACCATTCTGGGGGTCAAGCACCTTTGCTATTAGCAACCTCTGGTCATGGGGAACTGGACTTAGGGTGCATCTATACTGTGGAAGTTGCAGCCCCTGTAGACATCACCCAGGCGGCTGACAGTGGAGGTCTGGGTGGGTGGCCACCTGAGTATTACTCGGCGTTCTGGATAGGTTTTTCTTACCAAGCTAGACCACTGTACTGTCATGGCTACATCATTAGCAGTAGCTTAGCCCGCTAGTTTGAAGCCAATATAGGGAGGCATATGCAGATGTAGTATAGACACATCTGCCAGCATCAGTTCACTTAAGCATTTGAACAGCAGTGGCTTAAGATGGTCCCAAGAAGCCAGATGGTCTCTCTCCATCAGACTCTGCTCCAAACTGCAAGTCTTGCCTGTCTCCACCAACTATTTTTACCAACCAGGACCAGATCTGACACTGAGTGCATTATCACTGGAAGATCCTCTGAACTCAACTCCAGAGTTTGACTCCCCAGCTTGGAGAGGCTTTCTGGGCTGATTGTAAGCAGCCATTAGTTATCAGCTATGAAATTATTGATCAGCTTTAGTTGTACATCTCCCGCTCCCTCCCTGATTACCCCAAGCTTTGAGGTTAATGCATGACACCTGATCAGCTTAATACACTGAGTCTATTATCAGATTAGGGGGGGGTTGAAGACATCTGCTCTCTCAGCCATCTGGTAAATAAGGAGTCTTCAAGTGGAAGCAGCAGACAAGGGCAGATGATATTCTCCCTGCAGCTTGTACTCGTGTATGTCTGGAACCTCTCGGCATTTTGGAGGTAGAAGCCCTCACCCTGTAGGTAAGTGCCCTTTCCCCCCGACCCTGCTTCATAATACAGGTGATATTGTTGGGGCATCTGCTGGCCCCATGAGCTCTCTTCTTGCTTCATTTAGAGAAGCTTGCTTTTTTTTTTTTTTTTGCTGATACAAATGTCAGGGTAGGACAAGTAAGAAACTATCCTAGCTAGAGAGTTTCACTGGATTCATCTGCTGCTCTCTGTAGACGGCAGGACTTGAAGGGAGAGAGAGAGCTGGTCTATTTTACTGAAACAGCAGGCATGGTGCTAGAAAAATTAAGATTGCTACCAGAAGAATTTGCAGCAAAGGCATTAAAATGAATCTATTGGCTTTATACTTAATTACCTTTTAGTGCTCAAATTCCAAACTGCCTTTTGATTCTAGACATGCAATTGGATAGTTTGTAGCGTGGGCCAGTGCATTTTGATACTTTGAATAATACTCTAAAAACAGCAATTACAAACTTCTGCTTAAAGAGATCCTTCTTCCTCAAGAGGTCTCTACGAACTACCTCTAAACCTCAGACCCATTCCATCAACCTTCATTTATACTAATGCCTGTTGATACCAGAAGCCCAGTCAAGTAGTGCTTTAATAGAGATTTTGTCATGTGAATTGATTGTTCCTAAAAATTTCCAATCCTTTTCCAAGCCCTAACTTATCCACAAATTTAATCTCTCTTGTTCTATTTTCATAGATAGGATTCTGTTTGAGATGCATTTGCCTCAAACTGCATCTGATCATCTCTTAGAAATAATACATATCAAATGTGCATTCTAGCAACATATTCAGACACTCGGAGCAATTGCAGTTTCTCTGGACAGTTCTCAGTACCCAGTTTGTTTTTAATACTCTTCTGTTAAGGAAAATTAGCAACCAAAACATTGCATGAAAACCATAAAAGCACTAGATATTGAGTTGGGCTTAAACTGAGAAAAAGGAGGGAAGAAATGATTGGTGAAATACTCCAATTAGCCTCTCCACCAAGCAGCCACACCAGATTCTCAGATTGCCTATCACTTAGGCTGTGATTTTATACTGAGGGCCAGGACTCTGGTTCTAATCCCAGCTCTAACACCCACCTGGAGAAAGCCATAAGAACCATCTTGGTACTTCAGGTCACCATGTCTGTAAACCAGGGATGACATTTACCTTCTTTACAGGATATTGTGAGGCTTAATTAATTAATGTCTGTAAAGCACTTTGGGACTCTTGGATGGAGAACAGCAAAGTATTAATACATTTAGCTGGAACTGCATCTCGGTAATGAACCCATTGTGATATCCTTCCTTCAGTGTGGTACGCTCAGAGTTCAGAAAAAACAGTCTGCAACAAAACCACTCTCTTAATTGAAGAGACATGGGCAGTTCTAAGAAACAGGTTCACTGGTTCTTTTCAAGAGCTACTATACAAATGTTCATCTGTAATAAATATTGGAACAAGAGAGTTTAGGAAGGGGTGTCAACCCCTGTGCTTCAGGGTATAATCCCACCTCTAGCTCCTGGGGTTCAGAAGGATTTTTTTAGGGGCTAGGATCCCCCATAAGCACCTGCTGCAAATTTTTCCTACGTCTTCTGAAATACCTTGTACTAGTGAGATGATACTGGACCAGACAGATTACTAGTCTGAACCAACATAGAAATTCCTGTGTTACCTAAATGGCACAGTTATACTAGCTGAGGATCCAGCCCATCAAGATTTAAAAACGGGTATCTTTTGTAGGGAATGCTGGAAAAAATCATGATGGACATTTCCATGCTGGCTATGAATGGGCAAGCAGAGAGCCTAAATCCTTCCTACTGTCCTGGGCCTCTGACTTCAAGTCCTAAAAGAAGATGGGCTGATACTAATATTGGTCTGCCTTAGTGAATGTATGTGGCATAGTGACAGGCCTTTCATTATGACTGCAGGACTGAATGGCCCAAGATATGACGGAGAAAGAGCTTCGGAAGATGGAACTTGACCAGCTGAAAAAGGAGGTGAAGAATGAAAGACAAATGGTAACTCTTTCTATTAGTCACACACTGGACAAGTTCAGTGTTGGGGTAACTACAGATCTTAGTTGACCAGAGTCTCTTCTGCCTGCCAACTGAGCCCAATTTGAGTCTGCCGACATAGACTACTGTCACAAGGCACTGGTTGCCCTTGAGTCCCTTATGGGAACAGGGTACTTAGCATCTAGAAGGACTGGTCACTTTGTGGGGGGTAAAGGCTTGGGTCCTAGCAGTTCTTCATAATGATGGTCTGCACCCATCATGCTAGGATCTTTTGAAAATCTGGCCTGTCGTGCCATTAGGTGCACAAAGAGCCTGACTCCATTCTGTGCTGAAGCCTTTGGGAGTTTTGATATTTGCAAGATCCCTTCATGACCTAATGAACAGCGAGATCAGATAATAACAGATTGTAAGGACAGTATATTTTAGATGCTGTCATAGGCAACCTTGCACTTGACACTTCCTCTTCCTCTCAAAAAATGGTTGCATCATTTATGGGAGACTCCATAAAAATAATTCAGTCGCACTGTATAACAACAATATCATCATACACTGTAAGGGGAAAAATCCTACACTGGCAGGGGTGCGTATGGCTAGGTGGACTAGAGAGGTTGTTCCAACACCCAACAGACTATCAAACTTCAAAACTTTGTGGGCGATCACATGTCTTTAAATGGGGAAACTTTTAATTGAAAGGGGAGTAAGCACAATCCATGGACTCCTTCTCATGGCCTCACCAGCCATGGTTAGTAAACTAGAGGAATGAAAAATCTTGGCCAATATCCAACATTCACCATACAATTGCTAAGCAGAACCATATTACATTAGCATGGCCCGAGTTTCTAACAACATTGGAGAGAGCATCTGCAGAGACTATCCTGGCTGTGCAACTAAAATGGTATGGCCAAGGAACTTTTGCAGGTGTTGAGCATCCTCTGCTCTGATGAAACTTCATGAGCCATCCAGCCGTGCTAGATCAAGCCCTGGGGCTCTGGGAAATTCCTGGTGCAGGGCCAAGAAACAGCCTGATTGCAAAAAGTAATTCTCATCAAAAAGCGAGATTGTTGCTTTAATAGGGATCTCCACAGTTCTAATCAATAATGCTAAGAGAAGGATTTAGTGGGGATATAAAGCAACATGCTACCACAGTTAGACATTAGAGGATGGTCTCTTAATGAGAGGGCTGGGGGATGGGGCAGATTACCCTTTATCTTCCTGCATCTTCCCCTGAAACATCAGACTATGGCGCCTGTTACAGAAGGGAGCAGGGAGACCTTAGGTCAGATCTAGTCTGTAATGAGACCTTGCTACCATGACAAAAAAGAGATGCTTCTCTCTCTCTCTCCAGATCTCCAAGACGGGCAAAGAGCTCGTGGAATACATAGAATCCATGGCAGCGGAGGATCCTCTGTTGAAAGGAATTCCTGAGGACAAGAATCCTTTTAAAGAGAAGGGAGGCTGTATAATAAACTGACCCCCACTGCTCACAGACAAACATGCAACTGCTTCCTCTTGCAAAATCCAGACTGCCAGTATTCTGCCTGTCCCATAGCATGATCTTTGCAGAGTGGAACAGCCCCAAACTACATTCTCATGAAACATAGCACATTTACAGACCACAAAAAAAAAACACCCTACTGAAGAAATGCTTACCTTCAGCAGCGAGAAGGCAACCTATTTTTATGGCATCCCCACCTATTTAATTTCAGCTTGAGGTACACATGCAGAATGGGTTTGAAGAGACCTGCAGGGCTGTAGTCTTAGTAGCATTTATTTGACTTTCCCTCCACTCCTAACTGCAGAATTGAATCCCCAGGTACTAGGTGCAATTCAATTCCCCAACTCAATACATTGCTGTGTGATGTTGGACAGGTCACTTAATCCTTGTGCCTCAGTGTCCCCATCTGTAAAATGCAGATGATGATGCTTGCTTGCCTCTTGTAAAGCACATTGAGATGCAGGCTTCAAAAGGCACTAGGCATTATTATAAATTAATCCCAAGAATTTGAAAGGACCTTATACATTTACCTGTTCATTATGTTCATAAACCAGGTGGCCAGCTATTTTTGTTAATTTCTTAACAACAACATATTTAACATAAATTCTATCTCCCCTTCTCAAAGGCACTTCAGCTATCTGTACATCCAGTAATACTGGATATAAATACATCAACATTTACCATTTAAATGTTTGTGCAATCTTTTCATATACAAGAGGAGCAGGGTCATGGTCTGTGGAAAAGGTCATTAGAAGTCAACTTTGATCACAATGGGGAAATGGAACTATGATGGGGAAAGTTGCAGGCAATTCCCCACCCTGGTTGTGAACTAGATCTCACTGACAATCATTGCAATGGCATGGCTTTCTGCCTGCCTGAAACATGGCTATAAGACTCTTATGCGTTAGGTAGAAGGGAATCAGAACTTGTGGCAGAGGCGATACCTTTTATTAGACCACCTAGATTTTTTTCAAAAATAATTCTTTAATTGCAAGCTTTTGGGCACAAACACCCTTCTTCAGGCATAGGAGAAAAGATTGGAAAAGTTCTCCTGGGTAGAAATGAAAATTCGTATTTCATAGGAGAATTGAAGGTGTGGTAAAATCTCCTGTTTGGAACAGTTCATTTTATATGCAGATTATGTGTTAAGTGGCTCACAATCTCTTGGAGCGGCACAAGAAAGGAACAAGGCTTGCTGCCCTCTTTGCGCTGCATCTAGGTCGAGTTTTATCCCATCTGATGTTTAGCAAATTCTTCATACGGTTAGGGACGGTAGCAGGGAACAAAGGTTGGCTTCTAATGACCTCTTCCACAGATCCTGACCCTGCTCCTCTTGTATATGAAAAGATTGCATGAAGTTTAAATGGTAAATGATGATGTATTTGTATCAAGTATTACTGGATGTGGATGTATAGAGTTGGTGTTGGGGGATGGCTGGAATTAGGGCAGGTTGGGCTATTTTACCACTGCCAGTTTTTCACACCATGCCTGTGTTGGTTACAGCCAGTGTCCTCTGCTCCTGAGTTAGCACTTGGATTAATGCAGCTGAGGGGGTGGGAAAGACAGCAAGGCTCAGAACCTTGGAAACAAAAAGTGACCTAGAGGAGAGGGTCTCCACTCACTCAGCCCTCCTCCCTTCCCCTTCCCAGGGGAGTAGTAATCTGGAGTCATTACTCCCTTTACCATGGGAAGGCTTGGCTTGGCTTGGCTTGTATGCAGGATCTACGGCTACTGATCAGCTGCTCCACACTTAGCTGGCAGCACAGTAGAAAAGCCAAGCACTGAATGACATTCCTGATCCTAAAGGAGATTTCTGAGGCCTTGCCAGGGTGGCATGGATGTTGGCTCTGCCATTTTCCTAGGCCATTACCTGATGCCATTCATCTAGTTAACACTGCAGCCCCCAGATAAAAGCTTCCCAGAACAGTTGGTGTGACTGTGGGTACCTAGGTTTATTTCTGACAAGCCCCAAAAGAAGAGTCACTGGCCAACAACAGTTTGTACTGAAAAATAAGACAGCCAGGAATCCTAGCTTCCTGTCTACCTCACCACACTTCCCCTTTGAGTCAGACAGGCAGTCGAGACCATGACACAGACCCCAGCTACAGCCTACAATATCTTTGCAAAGGTCTCTCCTATAGCAACTGTTACAAAACCCATTACTTCAGAGGTACGAATGACCTGATTTAAGTCATGTGCATATCACCGTAAGACTCAGAAGGAGCAGAGACAATGCATGTGTTTTCAGTGAAGGAATGATCCATACTCCTATGATAGCAATGTTTGGGAAGAAGCAGCAGGGGTATATTTTAGGTGCCAGTAGCAAAGATTGTGTGTGGCAATTGTCCTTGTGCTGGGATGTACCAAAGAATCAGCTCCTGATTCATTAGCAGCAAAGCAGAAGTTATATTAGAAGTGGCTTCTGTAGTGCTAGTTTTAGCAAATCCTTGTACACCTTACATGACTGCTTTCTGCTAAGCCACCACTCACTCCTATTTAAGGCTCAGTCCTGCCTTGTGCTGCACCTTAGAGAAGTTGAGGCTGCTCAGCATTTCTCAGAATCAGGCCCCAAATGCATCACCAAGGAGCCTAGCTCTCCTAGAAGATAGGAACCCTGATGCGCTAGTATTGGAGAGCCAAGTTGGGGCTTATGTCATTCCTCTGCAACCAGCAGCTTCATTTGCTGTGCATTGTCAGTAATTAGCCAAAGCTGTTTTGTTACCTCCCTTGTAGCCTATAAATAAAACTGCACTGTGAATATTTTAAACGTTGCCTCTGTCTTCTTTGGGTGATGGTGGCTGTTTCGAGAAGCTAATTTTACAGCTGGGAGCACAGGACGCTCAGCTCAGTTAACCTGAGGTGGGAAGAGGACAGGGGAGGGGCAAAACCCAGCCTTTCCTCCAGAGAGACACACATTGAAATTAATGGAAATTTTGCCAGAGCAAGGATTAGCAAGGTTCAGCTTCCCCGTTGGCACTGAAGGGCAAGCAGTTGACATCTTCTCCAATAGGCAGGCACAATATATTGCTTTCTAATCAAGACAAGGTTGAAAGCAAGACCTGGTTCCTCCTGCCCCTCCCCTCAGCTTTTGACAGAAGAGACCTCCTATTTTATCAAGACCAGCCACCCTTTCCGTCACAAAAAAATTAAACTTGCCCACTATCAGATTAAAGCTTTTCTTTTCATCTCTGCTTCTAATCCAGGAAGAAGAGAAATCAAATATACCTAGGTTTTACTGTTCTCAAAGAAGATTGACCTATTAATCAAAGCTAAACTCCTTGCAACCTGCGTCAGAGTGAAATAATCAGTCTTAAAAGGATTTAGATTTCTGGGACTTTCCTGTTTGCCTGGCATCTGGACTGGGCAAGGATTTACCAACAGTGGAGGAAGCAAGAGTACAACCAGCTATTTGAAGTTTGCCGAGGCGCTGATCGACTTGTGCCAGCAAAGTCCATAGTAACTCCTGGCCACTGCCATGCAACACAGCCCTGGCGCATGGAGTCTGCCTGCCTTGCAGGAGCACAGCACTCTGCAGGGCAGCACTCTCCCACATGGCCAATGGGATTTTGAACAGCCAGGACCATGTGCATTATATGATCACACACACAGCAGGCAGTAGGCTCTGTAGATGCAATCTATTAAGCAAGCTATTAACACCGTAGATGATAAAAGCCACCCTTCCAGGCTGAAACACAACATGCTGCTTATCAAGATGTTACCATGTGTCCAGCATGGCACAGCCCTATTTACACCCATGGCCATTATGAAACAGGCAGGTGCACAATTGTGTTTGTTGCAGAGTACTGAGGTAAAATACTCTGCAACAAACAACATATTGATCTTGTGTCAATATGAACATCAGCTGAAGCCAGGAGGCCTGTTCTATCTCTGTAGGAGAATGCCTGACTTGGGCAACATCGCCAGGCATCAAGAACCAGCCAGGTACACACTGGATGCATCTACACGTGCATTTAAGTGCAACTGAATGTAATGCACATTAAGATAGTATGCATTAAGTGATGTTTGGCAAATGCCTATGCATGCAGGGACTTGGCACTAAAGTTAGTGCCAAGTCCTTGCAGTCCTGCCATGTGTCCCTAGTGCAGGGGTCAGCAACCTCTGGCACATGTGCTGAGCATGGCATGCATGGCCATTTCGCTCAGCACACCACCACCAGCCTGGGTTCTAGGCAGCTGCTGCCAGCCACGAAGCCCGGGCTGCTCCCAGGAGGTGGCTGGGCAGCTGCAAGCCCTGCTACAAGCTGACCGGGCTCTGTGGTTGGCAGCAGCTACCCAGAGCCTGGGTCAGTTGCAGCCAGGAGGCTGCAAACATCTGCTCCAGGCTCCAACATTAGCTCCATACCAGCGGGTGCAGGCGTGCCTCGGAGCGGACAGTGAGGGAGCGGCCTGAGGCAGCGTAACCCCGGCCTCTCCCCCACTGTTGGCGCAGAGCTGATGACAGCTCTGGAGCCCGGCGCAGCTGTTTGTAGCCAGCCTCGGCTGTGGGCAGCTGCAGCAGGCAGCGGACAGGCTGCAAACAGCTGCACCAGGCTCCACAGCCCTGGCATCAGCTCCATGCTGGTGGCTACTGCACATGCACCTCAGAGCGGACAGCAGGAGGGCTGTGCTGCCTCAGGCCCTATCCCCACTGTCTGCTCCGAGGTGCACGTGCACCCACCAGTATGGAGCTAATGCTGGAGCCCGGAGCAGCTGTTTACAGCCTCCCAGCTGCATCCAGCCCAGGCTCTGGTAGCTGCTGCCAACCATGGAGCCCGGGCTGCTTGCAGCAGGGCTTACAGCTGAGCCTAACTGACTCTCACCCCCCTCTGAGCCCAGCCCTGGTCCAGCCCCCCACCAGGATGAGGCTGGAGCTGCCTCTTGCCAGGAGCACCACACCTTTTGTGGGCTTAACTGTGTGGGGTGGGTGGGTGGGTGGTTGGGCAGGCTCTAGGCTGGGGCCTCAGCCACCTGTGCTGCAGCCTGGGGGCCCCCCGGGGAAGCACAGGGGCTCTGGCAGGACCAGGGCATTGTTGGGTCGGACTTTGTCCAGTGACCCAGGAGCCCGGCTCCGTGCACCTGCGCATCTGGTTCTGCGTGTTTGTCTGCCTCTGTCTGGTTCTGTGTGTCTGTGTGCGCACACGTCTGGTTTCGGATGTGTGTGTGCATGTGTCTGTTCTGGGTGTGTTCTGGTTCTCTGTGTGCATGTGTGTCTGGTTCTCTTTCTGCTCTCCTTTTTTCTTTCTCTTTCTCTCTCTCTCTGTCTCTCCTCTTTCTCTTATTTGTCTCTTTTTTCTCTCTCTCATTGCAACATGTTCAACAAAAAAGGAATATACAACAACAAAGGCAACATTTATGATTATGAAATATACTAATATGCAGTGCATCCTGCCATGTACCCCCTCCCTCCCCCCCGCCCCCTTCCCTGCCCTCATGTTGTTTTTCTGGCATGCCAGCACTCCAGCACCTTCCAAGGTAGACATTGTGTTTTTTTCAGCGCTCCGGCCAAAAAATGTTGCCTACCCCTGCCCTAGTGGCTGGGGAGACCCGGCACTAAAGTAATGTTAAAGCGCATTAATGCGCTTTAACTAAATGTGCCTAAATTTGATACCTACATTTGCAGGTATCAAATTTAGGCATATTTAGCCTAATTTCACCATTTTTAATGTACATTAAGGGCATGCATGTGTAGA